TTCAGTGGGCTTCTGTTTCCTTATCTATAAAATGGGAGTGTTGACAATACCTTTTTCAAGGGGGGTTAAGTGAGTTAATACATGTTAAACTTTTCAGAATAATGCCTGGAACATGGCAAGCACTGTATGAATTTGCTATTAGAGTACAGAAGGTCCCCAACTTCAGGATGGCTGACAGCTTTTCAACTTTATAACGGTGTGAAAGTGGTATGCGTTCAGTAGAAAATATAAAATGTGATCTTTTCCCAGGCTAGTGATATTTTTTGTTTATAAGGGTAAACAACCAATATACTTACAATGATTCTGTACCCAGACAACCATTCTGTCTCCCACTTTCAGAAGTGTATTCAATATATTACATGAGATATTCAACACTTTATTTTAAAATAGGCTTTGTGTCAGATGATTTTGCACGACTGTAGGCTAATATATCTGTCCCAGGAAAGTTTAAGGTATGCTGGGCAGAACTATGATGTTTGATAGGTTAGGTGTATAGTATACATTTTTTGACTTACTATATGTCTAACTTACAATAGGATTATCAGAATGTAACCTCACTGTAAATCAAGGAAGACCTGTAAATAGATTCCCCCTTTTTTCAATAACCCAGAACTCCTAATTAAGATCACTTGACAGAGTGCCAGAACACTGAAAATTCTTGAGAACTAATTTTGCATCATAAGAATATTCATTTAAACAATTATCAACTGGTATCAAATTGCTAGGGCAGGAAGCTAACACCTTTTAAGGGATTTAAAATTCCAAAACATTCCCACTACACCTTGAGATGAACTTACAAAAGAATAGTTTTATAAAAGAGTAGTTATATTCTGTTTATATTCTCCCTGAATTCAGATGTTGACATCCTAAAGCCCCAAAAATTATATATTAGGAGGTGCAGCCTTTGAGAGGTTCTCAGGTCATGAGGGTGCAGCCTTCATGAATGGGATTAGTGTTCTCATAAAACAGACCCCACAGAGACCCTTCCACCTTGTGAAGAACAGCAAGAAAGCGCTGGTGATGAACCAGTAAGAGGACTTGCAGAAGAATCCAATGTGCTGGTGCCTTGATCTTGGACTTCCCAGCCCCCAGTGCTGTGAGAAATAAACTTCTATGGTTTATTAGTGTAAAATAAAAGGAGAATAGTTATTTCTTAAAACTATTATAAAAGAATAGCTGGATCTTGCAAGATGTTTCTGGTGTTTCTTGCAAGATGGAACAAGTTAAGTTTACCCATTCAGATGGCTGAAGCATTTTACCAATATTTGTGGAAAAAATTTTTACTTGTCTTTAATAGATAATCTTATGGAGGCTGTGGACAAAATCTGAAGAAATGGAGCTTACAGAAATATCAAATAGCAATTTGTTTTTTAAAAAAAATCTGTCTCATTTTTTTTGTTTTTTCCCAGCTTCATGTTTGCTTTAGCCAACATTTATCTTTTTGGATGCTTACATTTCAAAGACATGGTAAGGTCAGTATTTCCAAGGGACTAAGAAAGAATTTCGAAAAAGGAACTCAGAGGCATATTTGCCTATTAACAGAAATCTAGGATTATTACCACAATATTTTTCTTTTCTTTAATGGTTGGATAAGATAGTTCAATAATTTTTTTTTTTCTATAGTACCTGCCCCAAATACGGGAAGGTCTGGACCTGGTGGGGTCAGCTTACAGAGGAGGGGACAGTCTATCAAGCCTTTCTATGCATTTTCTTGACCTTCAAAACTATTTCCTATCAATATTTCCATACATTTCACACCAACTTGAGCGCCATCTGCAGTTCTTGACATTTGGTTCTCTGATTTTCCCCTCCTAAACATGTTAAGGAAGTGTTTTGTATATATACAGCCAAGGTGTTCTGTATATATTTCTCTCTTCTTTCTTTTCTTCTTTCTTTCTTTAACCTGATCTTCCTATAGGAACCAAGAGGACATTAGTTTAAAATTAGAGCTCTCTTAAAAATCCTTTCAGCAGGCTTCCCTAGTGATTCAGTGGTAAAGAATCCACCTTCCAATGCAGGAGACATGGGTTTGATCCCTGATCCAGGAAGATCCCATATGCTCCAGAGCAACTAAGCCTGTGGACCACAATGACTGAGCCCATGTTCTTGAGCCTAGGACCTGCAGTACTGAGCCCATGCATCCCGACTACTGAAGCCTGTGTGCCCTAGGGCCTGTGGTCCAGAACAAGAGGAGCTACCACACAAGAATGAAAAGCCCACACACTTGAAAGTAGCACTTTCTCTGCACAACTAGAGAAAAGCTCATGCAGCAGTGAAGACCCAGGACAGCCAGAAGTAAAATAAATTAATTAAAAGAAATCCTTTTAATGAGATTACCCCTGAGTTGGCAGACAAACACCTGGTTACTCCTGTGAGTATATCTGAGACCAATCTTGGGACATTTTTAACCCCATCCTACCTCTGAAGAATTTTGCTGAATGTAAATACCAAACATGAATATACATATTTTAATTTTTGAATTAAACACTTACTATATGATTTAGGAAAAAAAAAATCCTTTTAGAGACCCCCCTGGTGGTAAAGGAGTTAAGAACCCTGCCAACGCAGGGGGCATGGGTTTGATCTCTGATCTGGGAAGATTCCACATGCCGTGGGGCAACTAAGCCCATGTGCCCCAACTACTGAGTCCATGCTCCCCAACGATGGAACCTGGGAGCCTGGACATAGCCCATGCTCAGCAATAAGAGAAACCACCGCAGTGAGTTCACCCACTGCAACTAGAGAGTAGCCCCCGCCAGCAGCAACTAGAGAAAGCCTGCATACGGCAACGGAGACTCAGAGCAGCCATAAATAAATAAGTTAATAAACAAATAAAATGTAAAAAATCTTTTAGGTGTAAAAGTCCAAATCTTCAACATATCTCTTTCAGTTCTGACTCCAACCAGTGCGTATTTTTACGGCTTAAAACCAATATTAGGGTTTACCCATGGACACAAGTGGTGTTCTCTAAGAAATGTAGCCTTCTCAAGATGCAGAGCCTCTGCAGAGAAAGCCTAAGAAAGCAAAGACCTTCCTTGTCTCAGGTGACAAATAAACCTCTATCTCCCACAAAGTGAGACATCTTAAATCACTGACCTCCTAACCCGTGTTATCAGAAAAGTGATGATGCTATGAGAATTTTCCCCTCAAAACCAGGCAACAAAGGTAGAGACCAAAAAGGCCCTGAATGAATTTGGACACTTTATTAAGACAAACTTCCCTGAAAGCCAGCATGGTTGGACAGAGAATGCTGTCTGTCTCTTCATTTCTTAGGCTCCTAGCTGGCTAGCTGCTGATGCAAGTGTGACAGACAACCTGTACCCCCCAAGGAGCAGAAACCAAAGGGCACATTCTCACTGGTTACAAAGCCAAGCTCTCAATACATAAAACAAAACAAATGGAGAGTCTCATTTTATAGTTTTTCATCCTTATGACAAAGGAAAACATGACTGTATCTGGGAGGCCAAGAATCAGTAACCACAGATGTTGATTACCAAAATAAAATTCACAAGAGTCATGATTCAAGATCTATTTTCACCAATGTTTTTCTCCTGCCGCTGTGAATTTGGAAAGGGACAAAGAGAAATCTTTATCCTTCTCTCTTGACAATGCGCTACAGACAGAGAGTTGGGAGACTGACATGGTAAGATTTCTTACCTTCTGCTGGTCTGCAGTCAGTTATCCTATATCTCAACTGCAGTCTCCAGGGACAGTGGAGTGTTCCAGCCTTTCACTGTCCCATCCTCATCACTAGAAACTGTACAGGAGGAAACATTTATTTCCTTTCACACTTTTCAGTTTTTTGCTGGGGCTCTGTAACCCAAGACAGATTAACAAGAGAAAAGCAAACAAGTATATTAACATATACATCTCATGTATACTTGTAAGAAATGCAAGGATGACTAACTCAAGCAGGAAGCTAGAATTTGGATTTACAGATTATCTTAACCAAAGAACAATATATTTTTCAGTGAGCAACAAGACAGAGGAATAGAGTACTAGGCTTCCATGAGTGGCAAATTGTGGGACAATAAATACATTAGAAAATAACGGAAGATAATAGCTAGTCAGTAAAGGCTGTTTTGCAGAATCCTCAGGTGCTGTCTTGGGGCTGATAGGTGTCTAGAGTTTTAAGTGATTAATTTCTACACAAATTTATGTTTTACTTTCAGGAAAATAGAGGGAGGAAGAGGACTTTCCTTGAATCTGCTTCTTCTCAACTGCCTTCAGCTCAAAATAATCTTTGTGCCAAAGGTGAAGATTTTGGGGTGGCATAATTCTGTTACTCTTTTGTAGGTTTTACTATACTGTTTTCTCACTTTACAATGACTCTTTATGTTCTAACATGAAAAAGTGAAGTAAGACATTGTCAGAAAGGACTTAGGAATGTTCACACGAGGCTTACTTATAACAGTAAAATATTGATTTACAAATTAAGAATTGAGAAGCAACCAAGAGAGTTAGCATAGGAATCTGTGATCAATGTGGTGTTTTGCTATATACCTATCAGAACAACAGGCTGTGTGTCACATTCTTTGTGGAAAATGTACATAAAATAATTTTAAGTGAAAAAGATGAAGACAACATAATGAAAGCACATAAAAAACTTAGTGCAAATGAATGTTAATCAAAGATGGGAGCACATTTTCAATTGTGTAATATGTTTATTCAGGTTCTTCTTTATAGTGGCTCAAATTCATAATAAAACAGGAGGAAGTTCCTCTTTGGGCAATAGGGCTAATCCCAGTTCTTTCTGAGCAATGTCTTCAAGCAATATCATTTCATTATTTTCTTGCAATTAACTCTTAGGACATCAAAATACCCTTCTGAAGACATACAGAACAAACCTTTTAGTGTAAGTGATGCAATAAACATTCCCTGCTTTCCACGTGTCTCCAAGGGTGGAGCTCCCAAACTGGTCAGAGAAGGGGGAAGTGAAAAGATGTTAAATACCAAGCCCAGCTCAGCCTGGTCAGCTTGGACATTTGGCTTCTGTCAACATGAAGGCTCTCCTTATTCTGGGGCTTCTCCTCCTTTCCGTTGCTGTCCAGGGCAAGAAATTTGAGAGATGTGAGCTTGCCAGAACTCTGAAGAAATTTGGATTGGCTGGCTACAAGGGAATCAGCCTGGCAAACTGTAAGTTGACTATTCTTCATCCTTCCAAATAGTTAGCCAGCTGTGGAACAGATACTAATAGAGGAAGAAGAATAAGAAAGGGACTTTGAGTGAATGGCTTTTTTTCCCCTTTCTTTGAAGGGTTTGTACATTTACAATGGTTCAAAAACATCAGCTCAGAATCAGATGTACCAAGGGAAGGATTGAAGCATGGGAGGGTCAAATTCTATACCATCCTAAGCATGCCAGATCTTGCTTTACTCCTCTGGTGCCACTGAATTTGCCAGCTGGCACTTGTAGGGTGACTACAAGATATATTTCAGCCCTCAGCCATTTCCAGCTTGGAATTTGGGTTCTGCAAGCCTGACTAAGGCAGTATTTTTGTCATTTTTAATCCCCCTACAAAGATGCTGGGTTTTTAATAGCCAAATTTTTTTAAAAATTACATTGAACTCTTAAAACAGGGACTGTAGGAAACTATTTCTCCTCAATCAGTATCTACATAAGGATTCCTGAAATGTAGCATGAAATCGCATTCTATTATTCTGACTCTAGTTCATTAATTATTTTTCATTTTCTTCCACAGAATTCAAGATGTGCCCTAAGGAAAAGTTCCTTTGTATTTCAGTCCATACCTGTCAATGTCAACATTGTATTTTTCAGAGTGAATTCAGACATTTCCCCTCCATAACTATTTTTTAATAAATGAGCAAATGGCTAGATGGATGGATGGATGACATAGTCTTTCCTATCCTATGATTCTTATTGTCTGGATTCTAATTTGATATCCAAATTCACCTTTAGGTATCATAAGATTCTCTTAGTAAATCCTTATTTTTCCTAGTATAAGTATTTTTACATTAGCATATGCATCTGCCACTAGTGACCAAACCCAGTTAACCACTCTGTTGATTTTTCCATTCGAGGCTCAATCTTACCTGAGGGATGGGAGCAGGGGAAGGGTAATAGTAATAGAAGACACAGCTATTTTAATATTTTTGCAATATGTTATCTTACTTCATTAGTATTTTCAAATGATTTGCTAACAAAAGAATTCTCTTAAGGGCCCTTAACACCAAGTGTTAAAATATTTACAAGCTAAATATATCTTTATGCTTCTAAAATAAGTCATTAGTAAAATAGAATTGTGCTATGAAATATAAGTCATATGATGTTCCTATTACTAAAAATACATTTTTTTTCAGGGATGTGTTTGACCTATGGAGAAAGCCGTTATAACACACAAGTTACAAACTATAATCCCAGAAGCAAAAGCACTGATTATGGGCTATTTCAGATCAACAGCAAATGGTGGTGTAATGACGGCAAAACCCCAAAAGCAGTTAACGGCTGTGGTATATCCTGCAGTGGTAAGATAAGATAATGTTGAGTGATGGCACAGGCCCCATTTGGTGGTACCTATAAGAAGAGAGATTTAATACAAATGAAAAGGTCTTGAAGAGTTCATGAGGGACCCAGAAAAACTCCATCTTAACTTCTAGAAACTGCTTTAGCATCTACCTCATAATTCCTTAAGTAAGAAATTAAAAAGCTGGTATCATATAAGGTTGCTGTTTGCCAACATACAAGAGTTGGAATGATCTATCACTGTATTATAACTGGACATGTTGATGCTTTGTAAAGAACAATGCCATTCCTACTAATTTTCCTGGTTTGGGAGAGGTTTAGGGATAATTTGGTTGTGTGGTCTTTTTTAAAATTTTGTCATATTTACCTCTTTTACGTATATATTATACAGTAGGGGGTTTTTTTGCTGAGTGATTTTAAAGTGAATTAGAAACATTATCACATTTCATTCCTAAATTCTTTAGTTTGCATATCTAAAAAATACACTTCCTATTTAATCACTGTCATTCTAAAAAGTTAATATATGGATTTGTTTTTAATTGGGGTGAAACAAATATTCTATTGAGTTCCTTTTAAAACTGAGAAAACATATGCAATATTTAGGGCTTCCCAGGTTGGGCTAGTAGTAAAGGACCCTCCGGACAGTTCAGGAGACATGAGATACAGTTTCGATCTCCGGGTTGGGAAGATCCTCCAAAGGAGGGCATGGCAACCCACTCCAGTATTCTTGACTAGAGAATCAACATGCACAAAGGAGCCTGGAGGGCTGCAGTCCATGGGGTCGCAAAGAGTCACACACGCACGTGTGCACATGCAATATTTATTGCATAAAATATTGGAGAAATATTGCTAATTTGATATTGTTTAATTTTTAATATTAAAATTCCTAGTAAAGAAGATTAGCTTCTGGACATATCTTTTATATACAGTTAGTTTAGTTTAAAAATTATTTTGTATTATTATATAATCTGTGGTCATTGAATAAGAGTTCTACTACCCAGAGACTTATGACCATGGAAACTTGTGGTATCCACATCTTCTTTCAGAATACACATCACTCACATACATGAATGTAAAGATATATAATTCACATTTGTACCCACATACAAACATGTAAGCAATATGCTTCAACAAAAATGAAATTGTACTATATTTCCTACTTTACAATTTGCTCATCATTGCACAATATCATTTTTCTCAACAAATATCAATCTTTATTAATTTTTCTGGATGAATAGAATTTCACTAAATACTCTAAAATTTATTAATCCAACTCTTGTATTAATGCATATGTCTTGGGTACATCGCTTATTAATTTTCTTTTTTTGAAATAAATTTTCACTAGTAGAACTGCTGAGCAAAAAACTGCTAGACTGGTTTTGGCTTGTTTGTTTCTGTTTTGTTTTCAAAGTGTCCAGTGAAAAGAGAACCTTCTATCATATTAGTTAATAGTTTCAGAGCTTCCAATGGCTTTGGCAAATGAGAAACAGAATGCTTTATTTCATGCCAAATGGGATAGAATGGAGAGAGTTTTCTCCCAATATTCACAGATACAGGGACTCTTAAAAAAATAATTTTAGTTGTTCTTTCCTCAGCCTAAGAGAATAAAGCTGGCTGAACCTAAAATTTACGTGAAATTTCTGTGAACATTGTCCTCATTTCTCACCACCTCTTTTTCAGCTTTGCTGAAAGATGACATCACTCAAGCTGTAGCATGTGCAAAGAAGATTGTCAGTCAGCAAGGCATTACAGCATGGTATGTTATTTTTTTGTTTTTGTTTTCCATACAGTGTTGTTAAGATGTAATTGACACACAGTACTTCATAAATTTAAGGTGTACTGCATAATGACTTACATACATCATGAAATGTTTATCACAGTAAGTTTAGTGAACATCCATGATCTCAATGGATACAAAATTAAAGAAACACAATGCAATACTGTTAAGCAATTATCCTTCATTTAAAAATAAAAATTAAAAAAAATTAAAGAAACAAGAAAAAAAATTTATGATGAAAAATCTTGTGATGTACTCTCTATTTTCATATGGAAGACACAGCAGTGTTAATTATATTCATCATGTTGTACACCACATCTCCAGTGTTTACTTATCTTATAATTGGAAGTTTGTAGTACTTTCCACAGCTTTCATCCAATTCCCCACCCCTCACCCCACCCACAATACCCACAATTGGTAACCACAATTTCTGAGTTTGTTTGTGTTTCAAGTATAATGGACCTTCAACACTATGTAAGTTCCCTTCACAGAGCAAGGTATGGGTTAAGCATTACAGGAGAGATCTGGGGACTTCCCTAGTGGTTAAGATTCTATGCTTTCAATGCAGGAGGAGGGGCTCTGGTACCTGGTTGGGGAACTAAGATTCCACAGGCCATGTGGTGTGGCCAAAAAAAGGTGTGTGTGGGAGGGTAGGGAGCAGTTTTATCCTCCTGTTATGAGAAAAGTGTGGGAGTATTCTCTAAGACCACGGGAACTGAAAATCTAAAAAATTAAGATTTATGCTAAACAGTGTATTACATAGAAACAATCTACTTTAACCTGAATTTATTTTAAGGACTTCTAGAGTTTTTAAGTTTTTCCACACTCTACCAGTTCCTTGCCATATCTTGAAATTATTTTTGAAAGTAAGTAAATATGGAATAAGCTTTGCAGTTATTTTGTGGACTACACAAGACTCAACATTTGTGTTCAGCATTCTGTGCTCTAGTGAAGACTTGGGGAGATGTAAAGTCCTTGGTATACATATTTCCAGTTAACAAATAAGCAATACTTGGATCTGTCTGTATCTTGTATTTCATGTACTGATTAACTATTTTGTTCTCACAAAGGATTTGAAGTATCTATAAGACAATGAAGATATGTTTCAAGCTTCTTATCATTTGTTTCATTTTTCTCCATAGGGTGGCATGGAAAAACAACTGTAAAAACCGAGATCTCACGAATTATGTTAAGGGTTGTGGAGTGTAACTGTGGAATGGAGTTTTCATCTTCAGCTCATTTTGTCTCTTTTTCATATTAAGGAAATAATAGTTGAGTAAAAGGCTAAACTACCACTCTTCCAAACAAATAATGCTTTCACAGAAGCAGGAGCATGTGGTCTTTCTTCTAAGAGGCTTGATGTTTACCTCGCTTGTTTATTGTTTGATATTAGGCCTACAACATTTTTCAGCTTGCTAACAGAACTAATGCTGGTGAATATTTGTCTAAAATCTTCATTGTCAAATGTATCTCTAGTAAATTTAGTTCTTAATCAAAGGGATAACCCAGACTTAATCTTGAATGATATAAGTACTCCCCAATATTCGACAAAATATAACAAAAGAATATCTTTAAGCAAATTGATCTTAGGCAAAGTCCCACCTGTGTAGGCATGTGAACTCTCATCTGTTCAGTCAAAAAGAGCAGAACGTCAAATGGCTAAAAATGAAAACAGCCCAATCAAGAATTTTGTTTTCATAAGTGTGACCTTTGGTTTAAATGTTTTAGTAGAAATGCTGCATTTACACAGCTTTTTAAAAATAAACTCACAATTTATACATCAGCCTATTTTAGCCTTTGCAAAGAACTCATTTATGCATCCTGCTGATCCTGAAGGAATATAAAGAAGGATTAGATGAGCTGTTGATTTTCCTCAGTTTCATTAGCTTGAATTCATGCATTATGACTAAATTCAGAGGCAGATAAGTTTGCAAGCATTGAATTAATTGCTATTAAACCGATGTGAAATGATGCATGTTGTAAAAGAAAAACAAACATTTTCATTAAAAGCTTTGCAATTCATCCCTTGTCTTCCTTTGTTTAGAGCCATTTAATGTCTCTGAAGAAATATGTATGTATTGGGAAATAATGATCTGACACTTATTATTTCCTACATCCTCACCTGTACTGAAACAGGTGGAGACTGCTAGAGAAATCCATAAGCATGCTGATATCTCACTTAATGTTTTAAATTTTTAATGTTTTTTGGCTGTGCCACACAGCTTCTGGGACCTTAGTTCCCCAAGAGGGCTTGAATTCTTACTCTAAACAGTGAAAGCACGGAGTCCTAAGCATGGGACCCCCAAGGATTTCCCCTCACTTAAAAATTCATAAATACAGATCTCAAGTGGGCCCTCAAGTCTACCTGGTCATCGTAGTCACTTCTCTGAAATCCTTCTGTGTTGGTGTCCTCACTCTCCAAAATGACTGTCACTATTTACTTCTCTCTTTTCAAAGTCCCAGCACACACACCAACCACTGGCCTTCCATACTGTGCTCTCAGCAGATAACCTTACAGTCTGTCTTACAGTCTTAAGTCATCTGTCAGATGCTATTACACCGACAGAACAGAAGGAACCCCATACAAAATCCTCCCCTCCTGGCCAGCAAAGCAGTGCTAACGTCTTTCCCTGGGCCCATCCCCCCTTCCTTCCCTTTTATCACTGGGATGAAGGGCCTCTGCTCCTCAACTGGCCGTGTCTCCAAATGCAGTCCTCCTCACAGCCCTCTCACTGCTCCAGTTTAGGCTGAGGGTTTCCTGCATCCCGAGCTTCTCCCTCTGTGCTGGATCATCCCCATCACTGCATGAGCTGCTCTCGGTAGGCTCCACACAACCCTCTGACTGCTGCGGCCAGTGCAGCAGGTAGGGATCGAAAGTGGTCGACTCACAGTTTGGGAAAAAGAGACTAGAGTCAGAGTTAAAGTCTTAAAGATGGGACCGGGGGACTCAAGGCCTCTTAGATCAAGAGCCCTGTTCTTCCGAGCCACATCACTTTTATTTAGTGTCTTGGCAAGCAGAAAGTATCTGTTGTGAGACGATGAAGTCAGCCTCCTGTGTCCCTGGTCATGTCTCCCATTTTATCGACTACTTTAAACTATCTTTGCTATTTTCTTATACAAGGAGTATCACCTAGCTGGAGGTCATAGACCCACATATGCCTTGGGAAAACATCTTGGTATGTACACAAGCAGTGATCTGAACTTGCGCTGACCTGGTGTTCCAAAGTCCATACTATGTTTTTCCTTGGCTTACCAGGGCATGATGACCCCAACTAAACAACCTGATGTACTGTTGTTTGGGTTATGCTGTATTTCTATATTTTGCTTTTATTCTTTTCCCATGATGATTTTCTCATGGCTTAGTCAGAGCAACAGGTGGCTGACTATTAATCCCTACAACCAACTACAACATTTTCAACTCCCTTTTATAACAACACTTCTGGGATGAGATATCTATATTCACCCACTCCATGTCTTCACCTCCCTTTCTCTTGTCATCTTTTCTTAATTTGACTGCTGTCCTCACTCAGCTGAAAACAGCTCCAACATGACTCCTCCCAGGATGCCTTGGGGCCAGTTCTAGTGATCACCTGATTTCTGTTCATCCTACTTGATCTCTCAGCAGCATTTGACAGAGTGAATCACTTCCTACTTCTGAAAACCTTTTCTTCCTCAGCTTCTCCTGCTTTATATTCTGCCTCATTGATAGTTTCTTCTCAGCCCTTCTTGGCTGGCTGTTTCTCTGATCGATTTTTAAATGTTGGAGCGTCCCAGGGCTGAAGCCTATAACCGCTTGATAGACATGTTTTATCTATTCATATATTTGTCTCTTTCAAAATAGTGTTTCCTACTTTTTGAAGTGCTTCCCTGATAGCTCAGTTGGTAAAGACTCTGCCTGCAAGGCAGGAGACCCCAGTTGGATTCCTGGGTTGGGAAGATCCCCTGGAGAAGGGAAAGGCTACCCACTCCAGTATTCTGGCCTGGAGAATTCCATGAACTGTATAGTCCATGGGGTCACAAAGAGTTGGAAATGACTGAGCAACTTTCACTTTCCTTTTTGAAGACTGAAATAATCTCAGTTTCCCACCAAATCTGTAAGTATAGTACAGGCTTTTATGTTTTCGGAACAGTTTGAGAATACAGTGCCAACATAGGCCCCATGGCTCCGAATTCTTCCATGTATAACTCCTCAGAACATCATCCAAACCTGGAGGTGAACACTGGCAAATTAGGACCACCTAATCATCTGGTCCTATGCAATTTCATCAAGTGCCCCATAAGCCCTTCTTAATGAAAAGGTCTAATTCAGAATCAAGTGTTATAATTTGGCGGTCATGTTTTTCAGTTTCCTTCAATCTAGTTCACTTCACCTCTTCCTTGACTTTATGACTTTAACCCTTTTGAAGACCTCAACCTGTCATTGTGGAAATGGCCTAAGGTTTTTCTGATATTCTCTGGAGTAGATTAGGTTATGCACCTTGGGCAGGGATACCACGGATTGATACTATGTTCTTCCCGGTGCATCCTTTCAAGTGACGCGCAGTTCTGAAATGTTCTACTACTGATGACATTCACATTGATCATTTGATTAAGGTGATGTCTGCAAATCACCTCCACTGTGAAGTATTTGGGAGAGGTGGAGGTACTTTGAGAAATTTTGTTCCACAACAAGATTTTAATTTTTATATTTACTTATTATATTATATCAGCATGGGCTTTCCCAGTGACTCAGTGATAAGGAATTTGCCTGCCAATGTAGGAGATGCAAGAGACATGGGTTTGATCCCTGGGTCAGGAAGATCCCCTGGAGAAGGGACTGGCTATATGCTCCAGTATTCTTGCCCAGATAATTCCAAGGACAGAGGAGCCTGGTGGGCTACAGTCCATGGGGTTGCAAAGAGTTGGACGTGACAGTGTACATGCAGGCATGCACACGTTATATCAGTATGGACCCCTGGTTTCCTACTTTTCTCCAAATTACAGTGAATCACAGTTCATTGCTATCATTTATTTTGATGTTCATATTGTCCCTGATTTGGCCATGAGAGTCTCTGCCAGCTAACTTTGTCATTTTGACTTGCCCCCATCATTCTTTGGGCACCTGTTTGTTTTCTGTCACAGGATGTCCTAAGAGTCACCTTGTTCTTTTCTTCCTTCAGCCTGGAATCAGGTATTTCACCAAAAAGCCCTTATTCCTCACAGAGGACAATGGTATTTAAAAAACTAAGCACTGGGCACTGGAGTATCACTGTTCCCAGGTTCCATCCATGGATAGAGCTGGAGAATGTATGTATTTACATAATTTTATCTATTTAAACTGAATTCATATAATACCTCCTATTCCAATCTCATACCACAAGGTTAATTTTAGTTATTTTCCTTTTCTGTGTTGGTAACTCCATAGTATGACAGCGAGAAACTGAGCTCCCACTGTCTTTAATATCTTTACATGTATCTGAGCATATGCAAATATTTGATCAATTTGCCTATATGTAATCAATCTTTCAACACTGCCATACTATAGAGTAGATGCTTCCCACTCAGTCACTGATACCCCTCATTGGGTCACCTCTTCTTCCGTATCCGGACACCTTCTCTACTGTGTCACATCTCTAACACACCATGTTTGGCCACTGTCCTTACAGGCAGGTGGGCAGAAATTTTTCACTCCTGTTTACATCCATATTCCAAACACCTGTAACAGTGCCTATAACGTGATACATGACCAATAAATATCAGTTGATTGAATCAGTCTCTCCAATTATTTAGCATATTCCCCCAAGCTGGGCATTTTGAGAGCTTTCTTACTTTCTCATCCCACGTGATTCCAGTTCAGCAGCTTCTGAGGCTCCAAGGGTCAGGTCTCAAGTCTATGTGATCAGCCAGGGGAGGACAGATTAGTAAAAGCTGGTCCAAGAGGGAAAGCAATATCTGTTAAATATTTTGCTTAGCATTTTTTTTAATTGACTTTTAATTCCTTTACAATGCTGTGTTTTTGCTATGTAACAAAAGTCCAGGCCCAGATGGCTTCATGGCAAGTTCTAACAATCATTCAGAGAAGAGCTAGCACTCATCCTTCTCAAACTTTAGCAAAAAATTGCAGAGGAGGGAACACTCCCAAGCTCATTCTATGAGGCCACCATTACTCTGATACCAAAACTAGACAAAGATACCACCAAAAAATGAAAGACCAATAAATTTTAAATTAA